AAGAGAGACATTCAGCCCTGCATACCATTTCCTTGGCTTGCATAGGGTATTTCAAAGTTTTTTTGCATTGTTTTGGCTCAGCCTCCTGCCTACTCTGGTTTGTAGCTTTTTACATATGACTGGGTGTGATGAGAGGATGGGTCCTCAAGCAAGTGAGCATTGTGGTGGAAAGCCCATAGGTCTTCTAGGTCCCATGAAGGTGCGGAAATGGGGTGCCCACAATCAGTCCTCCACTATGGGTCTTCAGGAGGCCCTGAAGTGGCCAGGAGAGCAGGGTTGTGAGGAAATTCAGGAGATCCAGCCTGGACTCACAGGGTTTTGCAATAGACTGAAAGTTTCCCTTTTAAAGCAGATCCAGGGCTAAGGGACCATCTGTCCTACAGAGGCACTGAATGCCCTGAGGTGAAATAGCTACTTTGGTTGAATTTTGGAAAAAATAAGGGAAGCCATGGATTTGATTTAGAACAGAAACGGTAAAGTAGCATCTTAAATGTGTAGAACTGTTTTGAAAATAATGGCTTAGTTTTGCCAGTCTACTATTTATTAAGACTGATAAACATTACTGGAAAGATTCTTGAGGACTTCCAGTTGTCTCCAGGTTTTCAGAGAAATCTTTCTTTTTATACTTACCCAGTCTCTCTGCAAACCTAAATTTCTGAACTGTACATAAAGAAACCCCAAACAAAACAGAACATGTAATTACAACATTGTAGCTCCAAAATGTGCCGGATCTGCTCAGCAAGTTTTCCTTATTTCTGAATAAGCAACTCTGGGTAATTTAAAGAAGCTCTGAACATAATTTATGCAGACACTTAGGTTTTCTTAGACCCTATGGTCACCTTTGTCCCTCAGGATCAAAATGAATTGCTCATTTATAACTGTAAGCAGCAAGATGCCTGGCTACCTGCAAGTCTGTTCACACCTGTTGTAACACAGTTAATAATAAAGTCCTTGAAAATATGATTTAAATTATCACATCTGTATACATTTTATAGATTAGGTGTCTCCGTTTTGGGATTGCTAAATCAGTAAGACTGAGACTGTTCTTTGCAAACAAGGCATGCTTCTTACATCCCAGAAAATATGTAGGGGAACTTTTACCAGTATCTTGAACTGATACATGCACTACATGTGCTGAAAAGTCCAGGGAATTATCTCGAGCCTTATGAACTTAATCTCAAATACAGGGTTTTACATAGAAATCATTTTGCCTATGTTCTGGAGTAAGAACAAAGCAGCTTTTTCATATGAGCATAGGTTCAGGTTGGGAGGGACCTCAGGGGATCTCTAGTCCAACCTCCAGCCACCTTGAACTGATATATGCACTACATGTGCTGAAAAGTCCAGGGAATTATCTCGAGCCTTATGAACTTAATCTCAAATACAGGGTTTTACATAGAAATCATTTTGCCTATGTTCTGGAGTAAGAACAAAGCAGCTTTTTCATATGAGCATAGGTTCAGGTTGGGAGGGACCTCAGGGGATCTCTAGTCCAACCTCCAGCCCAAAGCAGCATTAGCGAAGAGATCAGGTCAGGTTGCTTAGGGCTTGCACGCACTCTGGTCTTGAAAACGTTCGAGGATGGGGACTGCGCAGCCCCTCTGGGCAATGCCTGGTGGTCCTTATGTCCAGTCAGGAACTCTCTCATTTCAATTTAGGTCTGCTGTCCCCTTCCCTCTAGCCACACTGCTGTAAGGAGTCTGGCTCTGTATTCTTGAGAACCTTGTCATAGCTATTGGAAGGCAGCTATTTCCCTGTTTGGGACAAAAATAGAGACAGATTACTCAAGCCTTTTAAAAAGAACAGAAAATGTTGATAGGTCGATTAGCACTTAGGATAGGACATCAAGGTTTTCTTCCCAGAAAATTCTGTAACGTGTTTTTCTTTAACAACAATAAATAAGCAGATACCATTTGATTGTGATCTAGTAGATGTTTACAGGATTATATTTGTTGTTTTGTGATTTCCTAATATGTGAGGAAAGAGAGTAATGGTAACGAAGGGAAATGTGTCACATATTGAATCCAAGAGAGGGAAATCCGTGTCCGAATCACAGGAAGCTGTGGGACATGTGGCGGCAGAGAGGGCAAGACAGCAGCGTTTCAGACACTGCTTTGGAATATTCTTGAGTGCCTTCCCTGGTATGACAGTGACCGAGAATAGGCCCAATTGAGCATATAGTGTTTACATCCCTCCAGCCTCTTCCCTGGGGGATGGGGCAGGAAGAGGAGAGGGAAGGAAGCAAGGGATGATTGATGGGTTTTGAAAAGCTTTTCCCCGCGAGGGGAAGGTGTGGTCACTCTACGCATCTCCAGCTAACAAAGCCCTCCTGTAGGTGTAGCAGATGTAAGCTTTGTCACCCCTCTACTGACCAGAACACTGTGCAGAAAAACATTGTTCCTATTTTTCGTTTGGGAATACAGATTTGAGCAGGAGAAGTAGCTTGTCACCGTTACAGTTTATACTGCTTTAAGACAGTGTTTCAGCAATGAATCCGATTGTGTCATCTGTGACCATGGGGCTATAATAAGTAAGACCGGAGCACAGATCGACTACCGTATGTAGCACATCTTGGGAAGGCGCATGAGCACACAGCTACATTTCTATCAAATTAAGCCACAGGTACATGAACATACTAAGCCAATATAATCTGATACTGCTGCCAAAACAAGCAGTCATATCCACCCTCTCGCCCCTGCCTATTTTTGTTCCCATGCTACCTCCTCCATTACGCTGGCACAAGCAGTAGCACAGCCACATGCTGAACCAGACAAAGGAAATGATCTGGAAGAAAACTAACCTGATCAGAGAGAGAGGGGAAAAAAAAAGGTTTCACCCAGAATCAGTTGCTGAATCATTGCTTTTTTCAGCAGTGATGCCAGCTGATGTTGTTGTAAAGCTGGCATGAGGCTACAGCCTTAACCAGAGCGGGGAATATGAATTTATCCTAGCTTTAAGCCTCTGTGCTAACTTTATGCCAGTAGTGGGAATGCAAATGATCCGTGATCCAGCATAAAGTTAGGGTAGTACAGACAGACGGTACCTGATCTGGCATAAAGTCTGCCGGTACAAACTTATTCCATCAAACGTTTTTCAATGGCAGTGATCACCATGTGGCTGCAGTGCTTTTCATCCAGTACTAGCAGCCCTTAAACTTGTGTTATCAAATCAAGGCCAAACTGAATGAGATCCATTTTAGGACTTGAAAGAGGGAAAAAAAAAGGAAAGTTATGCAGAATGTCGTTCTGCCAAGTGACGGTGCTTTCTTACTGTCGGCTGTACTCAGACAGGCTCTGAACTGTGGTGGCAGGGTATTAGGATACCGAAATACTTGGTGATTATTTCTAGGGAACTGAGTAACTGAAGGTTATGGCTTTTGTAGATACTAGTGTTGTCAGATGACACTATGTTACTCGGCCTTTCAGTAATGAACTACCTGGCAATTTTTTGTTTCTTCCCAGCTGTTTCTCATTGTCATGTTTGTGTGTGTGATTTAAGGGCCACGGTATTATCAGAAAGAGGAAGAGAAACCAAAAGGTGCCTGATGATGCATGTTCATACCAGAAGGTCTTCTGCAGCGTTACCAATCAGAAACTCAGTGGCTTGACGGAACTGTAACTCTGGACTTCTTAAAAACTAGATTACCGGCATCACTGGGTAATGTAAATGTAATAATGTAAACAATGCAGAGTAATAGTGAGTGAAGTTGGAAACCCCTTTTCTCCACGTGTCCCAGTCTTGTTGCCCAAGAACTGTAACGTTTCCTAGGCCCAAATTTTGTGAAGAAAATCGGAATTTCCCCCTGCTTCCCAAATACTGCCTTGAGACATTAATGGGGGCTTTGGCCGGATGTTCCTCCCCCTCTCCCCATCTCTGACCAAGAAAAACTTGAGAGTTAAAACCTACAATATTTACTGCACTCGGAGCAGTCAGACCTGCAGGTTGGGGGTGTGGTGTGTGTGCGTGTGCGCGTTACACAAAAATCAGCTCTCGCTGCATCAGCCGGGGAATTGCGGGGCGTCCAGAGCCACCTCAGGGATCGGGACCGAGCCGGGCG